AATATCCGTATCAATTGCTAATTAAGATGATCAAGAGATTCCATTTGTATATACATCATAAAGTAAATTTATAGTTTCTAGACCTAATAGGAAAATCAACGAGAAAGATGAGTTTTGCTTTAGAAATCATTTGAGTGAAGAAAATAACATTTTCGAATAAGATTCAACATCGAATAGCTATTGCATTTAATATAGAATTTATTAAGTTAAAACATAATAACAATTCCCTTTTAAGTAAAATAAAAACCTCAGATAGGTTAATAAGATTAAGCTGGGGAAATCAATTGAAATAGAATATAATAATTATTAAAAATAGTTAGATACTGAAATATACGGTGAGTTCTAACTTAAAGCCACTCAAGGTAGCATGATATTACTTCTTTTATTTTTAAATCACGATATTACTAACGACTCAGCAGGGAAGGAGGGGTACCAAAGTACAAGATATGTTGCGGCGCGCAACCCGATCCCACCATATAATATCAATATCATAAGTTACCCTTATTCCACCATATCAATTCACCCTTATTTCACCTGTTGCAGCGTGCAACCCGATCCCACCTTACAGTATCAATATCATAACAATAAACATAATATGTAGCGGCACGCAACCTGATCCCACCATATAATATCAATATCATAATTCACCCTTATTTCCGCATAACATTTCACCCTTATTTCACCTATTGCGGCGTGCAACCCGATCCTACCGTATAATACAATATCACAATATAAATATCCTCCCTTATTCCACTGCCTCCCTTATTTCACCTGTTGCGGCATGCAATTCGACCCCCTTTACAATAATTTAAATCAACAACAATCATTCAACAACTAAATTACAAGAATTTATACAACCAAGAGTATGAGTACACGGTAACAAGAGAACCACATAAAAATCAAAGGAATACAACAACCTTTACAAAACAACAAGACATGTAAGGCACGTGATAACCACGTAGGCAATCACAACAATTTGGGCATGTAGCATATATGTACAGAGTCATAGAGGAACTCACAATTAAGAAGTAACAAAACAATAAGGAAGGCAATAACTTCAACTAAGGCAAATAAGGCCAAACAACGAGCAAGAGGTAAATAAATTCTAACAACATCATATAGAGCATGTAAGTGTAGCCTAACAACAAGATACCATATATTATGACAATTTGATCAAAGGCATGGAAAAAGACTAGACAATCTAACCGGTCAACACCACATATAAACTGTGTGCCCACTCGTCACCTTGCGTACACGGCTTTCACATATCAAGATAGCACAATTGACTCAATTCCTAAAGGGTGGTTTACCCCACACAAGGTTAGACAAGATACTTACCTCAATTCGGCCAACTCAATTTAGCTTTTCCTTTATCAATTCACCATCGCTCGACCCAACCTAGCCAAAGACGACTTAAATACATCAAACAATGCAAGATAAAACCATTTCAATTAACAAAGTTATGATCCTTACAAAATTTAAAAAAAGTCAACAAAAGTCAACTCCTCTAGCCCGCACCTCGGAACCCGACAAAATTTACAAAACCCCAACGCCTTTTCCGATACGAGTTCAACCATACAAAAATTATCAAGTTCCGATATCAATTCGTCCTTCAAATCATCATTTTTCATATTTGAATGATTTTATAATTTTCCCCAAATTTTCCTTTAGATTCTCATGAATTTGATGTTAAATCTAAGATATAATCACAAAACATAGTAGGAAATTGATTAGAGGGACTTACTCAATGATTTGGTATGAAAATCTTCTATCAAAATCGCCCACTCTCGGACCTAGGGTTCAAAATATGATAAAATGGAGCTAAGTCCCGAAATGGGAGTCTTCATACCAGCCTCAGCTGTCGCATTTGTGACATCAGGATGGCAAATGTGATTCTCGCAAATGCGAAGGCTGGCTAGCTCTGATCAGGTCGCAAATGCGACACAAGACTCGCAAATGCGAGCTCTGAGATGTTCACAAAAGCGACAGTTGCGTCGCAAATGCGGAGCTGCCTAGTCGCAAATGCGATAAAGTTATTCGCAATTGTAAACTCCCCTACCCCAGCCCATGTCGCAAATGCGAGAATGATCTCGCAAATGTGGTCATCGCTTTTGCGATGAAATCCTCGTAAATGCGAGAACAGAGACACCAACACACCTGAACCTTGTTCCGACACTTTGAAACGCGTACGAAACTCATCCTAGCCCCCGAAGCTCCATGACAAACACCTACACAAGTCTGAAAACATAACACGAACTCGTTCACGCGATCGGAACACCAAAATAACCTCTAGAACCACGAATCAGATGCCAAAACACATGAAAAATCACTATGAACTTCAAGAACTTCTGGAATCGCAACCAAGCGTCCGAACCTATCCAAATGACACCAAATTTTGCAGGCAAGTCCCAAATGACATAACGGAGCTGTTTCAACCCTCGAAATCGCATCCCGGCCCCGATATCACCAAAGTCAACTCTCGGTCAAACCTTTCAATCTCCAAACTTCAACTTTCCAAATTTTCGCCAAAATGCTTCAAATTACACTATGGACCTCCAAATCTAAATCCAGACATACGCCTAAGTCCAAAATCACCACCCGAGCCTACCGGAACTATCAAAACTCCAATTCGAGGTCAAGTACTCAAAAGTCAAATCTTGGTCAATTCTTTCAACTTCAAGCTTCTGAAATGGAAGTCACTTCTAAAAATCCTTTCCGAACTTCTCAAAAACTAGAGCCGATAATGCACACAAGTCATAATACACTGTGTGAAGCTACTCGTGACCTCAAACTGCCGAACCGGACGCAATTGCTCAAAACGATCAGCCGAGTCGTTACAAAGGCGTTTTGGGAAAACCGTCACGGCTAGGGCGAAAGAGGACAATATCACACCATGTTAAGAGTATCGTTAAACTGTTTTAGCCCACCAATTTATTTGCATTCTCGTCGTGCAAGGCTTATTAAAGAGGGAACTACTATTTTATTACCTGCAATTTTTCTATTTCTATAACTTGAATTTTAGATATCCGTTAAAAAGTAGAAAAAAAATTACCACTACTAGAAATTCGGTAAATACAGACCAAAAAAACCGACCAACTTTGGTCGGTTATGGCCAATTACCAACCAAATATGCTTGGACGGTATTTTGATGGTCGTTTTGATACACCGACTACCAACCAACGTTGGTCGGTAAATTAAATTCAAAAAATATTGCAAAAAAAAAAAACTGACCAAAGTTGGTTGGTATTTTAATTATGTAATCAAAAGATTCACCGTCTGGGAAGCGAACCGGGGTGTGTACTGTGGGAGGATACTATTCTACCACTAGACCATTGGTGCATTTTGTTTTAAGATTGTCTTTTTATTTATTTATATTCTTTAATTGTATTTTTGCACGAAAATAACCGACCAAAGTTGGTCGGTTTTATTAAAAAATAAAATTGCCGACCATTGGTCAGTTTTTTAAAATGACCGGCTGAATTTACCGATCAAAGTTGGTTGATTTTTTTAATATTAATTTTTATTTATCTTAATTGCAAAAATCGACCAAAGTTGGTCGGTTTCTTGAAAAATAAATTTCGCGGGACTCAAAAATAGTTTCCCGTATTTTTGCACCAAAGAAAACCGACCAAAGTTGGTCGGTTTCGTAAAAAAAAAATTAAAAATTAAAATATTTTGAAAAACCGACCAAAGTTGGTCGATTTTTGACCGATTTTTTTACCGACCAAAGTTGATCAGTTTTTCTTAGTCGGTTTTTGCCGAATTTCTAGTAGTGTATACATCCACACAGCCACACTTTTTCTTGGTACTTGCAAGAAATTTCAAAGTGCATGGCCTATGATGTTTGGTGATACATAGACATGAAACACGGATTTTGACTCTAAATAAGTCTGAATCATGCATGAAGGAATGGTCTCTTTTTATTTATTTATTTATAAATTAAAACCAAAAGTTGTTGTAGTGCGGCTTTCTTGTTCAAAATATGTGGAAGAATTTTTTTATTTATTTTCTGATTATTTCTTGCTTTTCTTTAGGATGATTCGATAAAATAGGAAAAATACAAATTAAAAGTGGTTTAGTTCAGGAGTAAAAATGTTAATAGTCATGTGTCCCTATATGTACTAGTAATACATAAAGACATGACACATTTGGACATCATATCGAGAACATTTTTCCTATTCCACATTAGGTTGATTGAGAAAAAACATTGCGGCAGAAAAGTACTCATGATTCTCTATTTCTTTTTTGTTTATTTTCTTTTACTATGTATTCTCTTCATCTCATTTTGTATGACATCTTCTCTTTTCTAATCCGTTCAAAAGAAATAATAACATACTTTTTTATTTGGAAATTTTAACTTTTAACTTTTAATTTTACCTTTAATAGCATGCTTATAACCCCAAAAATATTATGCATGTTTAAGATCACAATTCCCTGACGTATATTTTACTATATTGCCAAAAATACTTTTTTTACTATTAAACTACATGTTTCAAATATTCGTATAAAATGAATGAGGTGGAGTATAAAATTGAATGAAATAGTACGCTAGAATATTCTCATAGCTTCAAAAATTGATTTTCTTTTCCATGGGCATGGCATAAATAGTTTACAATTCAAGTGGTCCAAAAATCCCCCACCCCCACCGCTCCCCCAACCCCCACAGCACATAGCCCTGCGCACTTTTTAGCACTACAAATTCAGACCGAACCCCTCACTTATACCTCGTTCATTCTTCTATCTTCTCATCATTCTCTCCTTTCCCTCACAAAAACAAAAGCCAAGAATTAAGACTCCTTAGCAAATTCATATTCAAGATTCTTCCTTTTCTAGAATTTCACAAAATTTCAATATTTTTGCTTCTTTAGATACTTTTATCCAATTATTCTCGACATGTCAACCATAGTATATCAAGGTTTGCAGTCATGTTCTGAGTTCACATCATTGAAACAACTACCCTCAAGCTCAAAGTGCGAACCCCAACTGCAATAGAAAGCAATATGGAAAATCTTAATGAAAAATATCAAGATATAAAGAATTGCTCATCTAGTAAAAATGCAGACTTAGCAGGCTGGAGTTCGCTTCAAAATCTCCCCACCATTAACTCTTTGAAAGAAAAGGAAAGCTCTTATGTTCACCCTTTATCCAAGCAAACCTCTTCGTCTATACTTAGTGAAAAGAGCCTTGCATTATGCACTGAAAATTTGGGATGTGAAACGGGAACTGATCATATCATTGAAAGCAGCATTTTCTCATTTTCATCGGACGAGTCAAACACAGTACAAGCACAATTATCATCAACAACAAAAACCGATATTCGAGTTGAATATACACCATCTTCAGCAGCAAATTACAAGGTGATCGCTAACACTGAAATTAGCTGCCGAAAACTTCCACCTCCTTTGACAACATTAAGAGGGTCCAATTCTCTACAAGTTAGCACACAAAGAGAAGGTGGTAGATTAATCATCAAAGCCGTTGAAGCTCCAAAGGTGCGTACTTATCTTCATGCTGAGAGAAGCAATGGCCGTCTTCGGCTATGTTTCTTGAAAGAATATGGAAGCTCTGCTTCTAAATTTGACTTATACGAGAACGAAGAATTAAAAGCTGAAAATGGCATCTTTGAAAGTGACATTAGCAATGAAGAAGATGATGATTATGAAGAAAAAATGGAGGAACCAAAAGATGAAGAAGAGGAAGAAAGTGGCATGAACATGAAAAGGGACATGGATGGAAATAGTTATGATGTTGAGGTTGAAACTGGAATAGGGAATTGTCAAAGGGTACGTAGGTGCCAAGAAGGAAGGAAGGGCAATAACAACTTTTGTGATTGGAGGAAGCCTTTGTGGGTGGCTACTTCCTAAATTTTTGTTTTCGGAACACTTCAATTAATTTTCTCATTTTTTTCGGAACCCTCTCTGTCCCCCTTTTATCTTACTAGCTATGTCCATTTATAAGTAGCTCATTACAAAAATTGGCCAATTGATAAAATATTACTAATATTAACCAAATTAGCCAATTAGCTATTTGTAGCAAAAAAATATCAAATTTTTGCTTTGTTTTGAGTGGGTGTTATTAGAATAGATTGGGCACAACTTAAGGAGCTTGAATCTCAGTTTTGGGATGATTTGGTGAAGTTTTGAGGTGGTTTGAATTGAAAATTCGAAGTAATAGCTGAACATGAAAAAAAATGATATGTGTATCACACTGTGTATCATTTGTGTATTACATATGTATCATATTTGTATCAATTGTGTATCACATGTATATTTATGTATACTTGTGTGTAAGATACATGCGTGATACATGTTTGATACATGTGTCGCAGAAGACTTTTTTGAACTCGATTTAATTACGAATTTTGATGCAAAACCAGTCCAAATTACCTCCAATCTTACTCAGATTTTGTATATTGACTTATCTATATATTTTCAATGAATTTCAACTATACCCATTGAAAAAGTTTCTTTTTTCGTTTAGATTTTTGGAATATTGTATAGATTTTTGTATTTCATCACCTTATTTGCTACACCGTCCATAAAATTTCCTTTCCGTCTTGTATCTAATGTTGTTAATCACGCTTAAAAATATGGAAGGTGATTTTTGCATGTGATTTTTTGAGAGAAAGAATCCTATTATTTGGTTTTTCAATTTTTGTTGGCTAGTTTTGGTAAGTCTATGACTAATGGCTAGAGGTTGGTAAGTTGAGATTTATTTGGGACATTTGTGTAAGTTTCCCTAGTTATTATCGTTATTTTTTGAACATGGCCTTTCCTTAATATTAATTTTCAATGCTTAGTTTAGAGATAACTAAATCGGATAGCCAAAGAGTGGCTAAATAATTGCAAATTAAAGGGTGCAAATGTGGGACAATGATCACGTTAACTTGCAATAATTTGGAAGGGCCTCTTATAAGATTTTGGACATAAGGTGTTGCCAGCTTCGTTTTTTCATTCTCAGCGACTGGAAATTTGAAATCAAACTTAGGGCTTTTTTCACTTTTAGCCGCGTTAGAAATTATTGGTAACCGAAAAAATATATAAAATTTATATAATTTTTGTATATAACATACAAAATGTATATATATACAAAAAATATACAATTTTTGGCTATTATTTTAAGAGCGGTTATACAATATCAATATTTTCTCAAACCTTATATCCCATAACCCATGTTAGTTACCATAAAAGAAGGGGAAAAAGAGTATTAGTTATGGCTATTGCCAACTTTCCAAGGCTAGATCTACAAAACTAGCTACCTTTGCAATTACCTGCACGTATTATTTTCCATTTGGACTATTTATGTGTGTATATGTACGTCATTTGAATCCACTCATAACTCTATTTATTGATCTCGTTTTAAGGGGTTATTTCGAGAAAAATCTCACTATAAATCTTTGCATCATTGATCTCTCATTTAGTTATCATTTTTGTTTCCGTACAGGTAATGTCCGAGTAACCTAGCTATGCGATAATTGTCGGCTTCTTTTTCCATTCTGCTATGTATTTTTGTTTAATTGTCGGGCTACTTTCCACTTTTATTTTTGCAATATAATCTTTTTTAGAAGGTCTGACTCGTTGTAGGTAGATGTGCATGCATTTGGAATTATATCTTGATCATGCTTGCTTATTATTGCCGAGACTTAATTTTCTAAATGTGATGCCTTGAAACCCTTTTATGAATTGTTTATATTTTATCAAATCACCACATATGGCATTACAGGGTCTCCTGGATCCCTTTATGCATGTAAAAGTTACCAATCATGACTTTCCAAGTTTTCAATCTTGATACAACCTAGTAAGTAATAAACTAAGCAAATTATATATAAAGAATTTGAAATCTATTGAATGTCTAGCCCAAAGACATTTCCGTACTATGGTTTTGTTAGTTACATGCGTGTCATTTTTTGAGGGAGAGTTCTTCTATGAATTTTCCCCTCTTCAATTTATTATGACCAAAACCATGTAAAATAGACGCTTAAATTGGGGTAATTAGCCGTCGTTAAAGTTTAAAGTAGCAAATGACCACTCAACTGGCAAAATTTTAGCAAATCTCAAAATATAATATAAAGACTAAAGAGCAACTTATCGCATGAAAAGGTCAAGAGACGAAACTTTGAAGTGGGAACATTTTTAGTTGAGATGATGTTAACTTGAGCTGGACAAAGGTAAGAATCAGTCTGATGTTTTATACGTCAATACCACACAAGAGGGGGGTGTGATTTGTGTGGTACCCAATTTTCGCTTAACTTGACTTGATTATAGAAGGACCTGGTTCTTCTATGTGTTCCAACTACTACTGTTGCGGAATAATAACTACAGAAAATAAAGAACACAAAGATTTTACGTGAAAAATACCTGACTCAAACGGTGAAAAAATCACGACCTACCTTCCAGTAGAATTTTCCCAAACTCTCCACTACAATCACTGAGCCAAAAACTGCATTTACAAAAACTCTTTTGTACACCTAGGATTAACTCTAATCCCGTTGTGGCACACAACCTCAACTGTTGCGACAACTTCAAGTTAACTCTAACTTGAAAACTCTAAGTACCTAATACAATTGCTTATAAATAAGCTGAAAGGTGCAATGTAAAATCACCTACTACAATTGAACTAGAATAAAAGATAAGACTCTTGGAACTGGTTCTTCTATCTGGTTGAAGTAGCTTCAGGATTGCACGCTTGAATCACACATAAATTGCTTGCAAAACAAAATTGCCTTGCTATTTTGCTCTCAATTCACGTTTAACTTCTGCTTATGTGCATTACCTGTGAGAACAACACTGATATTTAAGGAGTTAGCAATTAGAGATTGACTAGGATACAAACCCTAGTCTTCCATGGTGGAAGAGTTCTAGTTGATCTCATACTCTAACTCTATCCTTTTCGTAAACCGTGTCCTCTTTGTGTAAGGAGTCTTTCTCCTTATCCAATATGTAACCTTTTCGATCATGATCAGGAGATATCACTTCTGATAAGTTAGGTTTATCTCCTTCACGTGCATCTCACATGTTTGAGTTGATCACAACTGTGCTTCACAAGATGGACCTGGTCCATGTATGAGTTCCTTTGTCAGTCTTCAAAACTTTACCTTTACTTGGGCCAATACAGTCGTCAATGGAGGTTCTGTAGTATGACATGCAAATCAGTACACACTAACTCAGTAGCTAAGAACAATCAAGAGAGAGAAGAAATAAAGAGGATATCATTTTTATTACTCTGTTAACTTATACAAGTGTGCTCTTGTTATATAGAAGAGTAGGGCACTAACTGCCCTCTAACAAACTTCTACTTCTAACTCCTTCTAGTTTTAACTAATTACACATTGACCCCTCACTCACTAACTGAGTTAATCTTCTAGCTATGTTAACACTCCCCCCTCAAGTTGGAGAATGGAAAACATTCAACACTCCTAGCTTGGAGAGCAACAACTCATGTTGAGTTGTTCCCAATCCTTTAGTCATTAGGTCTGCAAGTTGCTACTTTGTGGGTATATACTCTGTCTTGATCAGCCCCTACTTGATTCTTTCCCTAACAAAATGGCAATCTATATCTATATGTTTGGTTCTTTCGTGAAAGATGGGATTGCCAGCTATTTGTAGAGCTGTTTTTCAATCGCAATGTAGGTGTACAAGTTCTTCTACATTGTTGCCCAGCTCCTTTAGTAAGCCTGTCATCCATATTACTTCTGCAACTGCTGCTGCTTGCTTCTATATTCTGCCTCTGTTAAGCTTCTACTCACTGTTTGTTGTTTCTTTGACTTCCAAGATAGTAATGAGCTCCTAGTTTAACCACATAACCTGTGACAGATCTTCTTATATATGGGCATGCTGCCCAGTCTGAATCATAGTATACTGTAAGAGTATTGGTCTGTCTACTGCTCAAAAGGATCCCTAGTCCAGGGCTTCCTTTGATGTAGCCCAGTCTGAATCATAGTATATTGTGAGAGTATTGGTCTTTCTACTGCTCAAAAGGATCCCTAGTCCAGGGCTTCCTTTGATGTATCTGACCACTCTTAATGCTACTTCCACATGGGACCCCTTAGGAGACTGCATAAACTAGACTATAAAGCGTATGCCTGGCCTTGTAACTGTCAGATATAGCAGTTTACCAATTAGTTTCTGATAGCTACATACATCTTCCAACAGAGCATCTCCAGTATTACCAGCATTCTTATCATAATCAGTAGTGGTAAGTTTGTGATTTTGCTCCATAGGCGTTGAGACTGGCTTGTAGCCGCTCAACCCAACCTCTGAAATAAGCTCCAATACATACTTTCTTTGGTTTAGGAGAATTCCTTTATCTGACCTCATCACCTCAATTCCTAAGAAGAATTTGAGCTCACCTAGATCCTTCATTTTGAAGTTCCTGTGTAATGTTGCCTTTTGCCTCTTCAATGAGACTATAACTACTTCCTGTTAACAGAAGATCATCAACATACACCAAGACAACTACAATGTCTTTGTTGCTTTTCTTTGTGAATAGGGAGTGATCATAACTGCTTTGCATAAAACCAGCTTGAAAAAATGCATCTATCAACTTTATATTTTATTGTTTTGAGGCTTGTTTCAAGCCATATAAGGATTTTAGCAGCCTACATACCTTGGACTCCCCCTGGCTGTGAAATCCTTGTGGAAGCTGCATATAGACTTCCTCAAACAGATCACCTTGGAGAAATGCATTATTAACATCCATTTGGAACAAAGGCCAACCTTTGCATGATGCAACACCAATGACTGCCCTTACTGTCACTATTTTTGCCACAGGCGAAAAGGTTTCATGGTAGTCAAGTCCCTCTTGTTGAGTGTAGCCTTTATCCACTAACCTTGCTTTGTACCTATCTATCTCAGCATTAGCTTTA